ATTTGTCGCTCTTCTTATCAACATTCTTCGATGCCCTCTTGAAAAACAGAAAAACATTGAATCAGTGAAAATTAAAAAGCTGACACGTAAATGGCAGAAATAACTCCTCTGACTCCCCACTTTTTCCATAACTACAGTAAGTTACTCCACAGATCGAGGTGACTTCATTTGATACCTTTCAGCGTTACTAAAGCCCAGCACCTGGGTAGGTGAGCAATTTCTGCTTCACTTCCAGCAAAGTTGCAAGGACAAAACAAATCTTGTTGGCAGCAGGTGCAAAAATTTGACATGCAGAGTATTATATTTCAGCTGGCTTGCAAAATTACACCCACACTTGTTTCATTAATTTATGCTTTTATACTGAGGATAATTTTGTCGCACTTTGTTACACTGGTGTAGCACAGGAGAAAACAGCGGCCGGAAAATCAATGCTCAAATCTTTCGAAATTGTTTCATTTCTTGAGAAACCCTTATCTTCATTACAGGAGAGGAAAAGAAACTTGGGAAATGAGGGGAAAATGGTCCGTTTCGCCTTCTCTTTTGACAAACGTGCTAGGCGAAGGAAGCTTGGATTAGCAGAATTAAATATTTACTCTTGGCGATTTCCTTTCAGGAACCTGAGAACTTGAGATATTTTGCAAGTCCTATCGTAAAAATGGTAGACTACTGTCTATGAAGAAAATTGGCGCCTCAACCGCATAAATGGTTCGTGGATTGAAGCCAGGATCACGCCTCGCCAAGTCCAACCATGCTTTCCATCCCATGCACGGGGTAAGGGAGCTGACTGACGCGGCACTCGTTTTGCATGAAAAAACCCTGATTTGTGCGGTGGTTTGGCACTGCACTTCGCTTTGCTAGGCAAACGTCGATCACTACGATTCCATATGGAAGTCGAGCGCGTGGCGCATTCCGAGAGATGATCAGGTGGACATCAGGAAATATTTTCTCTTTTCATTAACAAATTAACTGCTCACAACCCAGCGTTCTTGTGAAACAATTGTAGAACTGCGGCCAAAAACAGCAGTTAACAAACAGAAACATATTTTCTATTTTTGGGTGGAAGTTGATTTGTGAAGTTTTCTTCAATTCAGCAATTAAATCATTGTCGGCTGGTCAGCAGAGTCGAAATTTGGCAACTAGCACGTCATGCTTCTTGCCGAAAATTGGAGGTTCTGGGCGGGTGAGTGTCGCATTGTCCTCGTTCGCACCCTTTCCCATGATTGTACTCATCTAGGGACGTCGAGTGACGATCACGGAAGCTGATCATCGAAGAGCCAACTCTTCCGGATCGGTCGACAAACGTCTGGTCAAAAGCCAAGAAGGTCTCACCGTGCGGTACGTCTAGTTTTAATCAACCGTTAATTTAAGGTCGAATTTTACTAATATTGCTAGTTTTCAGGTCAGCCTCGCTACAGCCAATAAGCGATCCACTACTGGATATTTTATCACAGATCCATAAAATAGTCATGATCAGTGAGCTAAGTTAGTGAATGTGCCTAATACCTCTATGAGGTTTGACCAAATGAAAATTTTTAGGCCCATCTGAGACAACAAATCACAAGAGGCGAGTTGTGGAACAGTTTCGTAAGCGCATCTTCAGCAGCACAAGTAATGCAGAGATGATCAAAAAACATCTGAGGAAGGTGAGGGAGAGTCAGGAGAAAGTGAGATGTTCCCTTTCTGATTCGTTTTCTTTGCTGCAGCTGTCCACGGAATCTCACGAAGAGATCGAATTGGACCTTGGCTATTCGGACTTTCGGCCCGTTCTCACCGACATTTACAAATTGGGCTACCAGAACGGTCAGTTTGACTATCATCGTCACCTCTTTGTCAATTAATTAATAACAACTATTTCGCATATTACATATGTTGCTTACAACTGTACAATCTTTTCCATTTTTCAGATCGAAAAATTCCCCGCATCACATACGAACAGCTATCCGCGTGTATACAGCGTCTAATCGAAGAGAGCCGATAGCTACCGACCGAGATTCACCAACTGTTGGCACTGACCGCCGTTCAGACCTCATCAATTGCGAACCGACTCATGAACGATAACATTTCCACAACATATTTGTATTGTATATATTTTTTACATTAGAAAGAATGCACAGCAACTATTTTTGAGAGTATTTATTTGTAAATAAAAAAGCTCCCAGAGTTCACAAGTGTTTACTATGTGAGCTTCCACGGGTGATTTTTCGAAATGTTCAGCTAACCATAAGAAGGTGCACACAAGAGCTTAGCCGCAGTCTAACAATCTAGGAGTTCATTTACCCATGACAAACCGATTGTGCCGAGCTGATGATATCGGACTGGGTCGAAGAAATGTGTCAAACATCTCTGCGTTCCCAGTGTACAATTCCCGCCGCGATGTGGTCCGATAGCAGCCGCCAAGGCGTCGAACAACTGCCTCTAGAGTGGGAAAAACAATCATTCCACTAGTGAGAGGTCTTGTGGCCAGACTGACCACAAAAGTATTGTCGTCCTTCATAAAAGTAACCCTACATCTGACCGCATTACTCTAAAACCAGTACTATGTAATGTTCACCAAAGCAAGATATTTATTTCAAACGGAAATAAAGGAAGATAGCATACATAAAAATACACATCAATCTCTAATAAAGATTTTTTTGTGTTTTAGTTAATTTCAACATTGTTAAGAGAAGAAAACAAAAAATAAACTGAAAAACGATGTGCTATTTAGAGATGATAGAACGCGGCGTTACGATAGAAAATCTATGCTAGACTTTGGAAATAATCAACAAAACCGAGACTGATTGCATGAGCAAAACGATATTGACTTGGGGATAGATTATAGATGGGCAGAGAAGAAAAAAAAATGGACAGAAAGGAAGCCCCCAAATCAACTGTGATTTATAAATGTACGTGAACATAGTTCAAATTAGCAACAAAAAATTCCTCAACGCAATTTCAACAAAGGAAAACCGAACATAGCGGGAACAACTATTACGACCTTCTAGGAGGTACTAATTTCACCCCACGAGATTGGAGCAAATGTTTGAGAACAATCGTATTCCAACCGGGAGCTTTCTAGATAGCTACATCGATTCAATTCTTCTATTATTAACGTGGACATTTGACAGATGCACTAAAGGAGGGGCCATTGTTACGCTTGTGCATTTAATTATTTACTTCAATTCTTCTTTAAAATACTTCAATTGCTAAAAATTTGGTGTAAAGCCCCTCCTAGAGCAGACAGTTCAGCATCTCAACAAAAAGCTCCATCGCAGGGTAACAACGCCATCATAGGCAAAACAACAAACTATTTTGAGATAACCAGTTCAGAGAAAAACATACAAACCATGGAAATGTGAACACATTGAAGCATACCAGTCTAATTCTTCGCGGCAGCAACTTTCTTCTTATCATCGGCACTTGTCTAGAACAAATCAGATGTAAATCTTACGATTAGAACCGTTTTATATTTAGGATAAAAAGTCGACAAATCAACTGGGTTTCATGAAATTTGAAACGCCATTTGAGCTGTTAAAGTACGTTGAGAACATAAACATAAAGGGCATCAACCTCACAATCCATCCTAACATGAACTAATCAATTAAATTAGTAGCGACAGAGAGAGTAATAAGCAAAATGTCAAAATCTTCTTGAAAAATTAACATGTAAAGTGAAAAACTCACAATATAAAAGTCGTCGGCAGTTTTATACTTTTCAAGTTCCTTCTGCAGAAATGGATCAACAACGAGCTGTTTGGCTATTTTACACCTGAACAATAGTGTTGACATCCAGAAACCAGAAAGTTGCAATTTGTTTATTTATAAAGCACTCACCGTTTCATGAACATGAAGAACTTCTCTAAACCATATAACTGCCCATTTTTCACATCAGCGATGCAGTCCTTCACAAAATTTTTGTAAATTTCTGGTCGGAACTTCTTCTCTAGCCCGTAGCTGTAGAAGCGGAAAAGAGCTTCTATACCATACCGGAATCTGAAGGAAAATAGCAATACAGCAGTCGAAAGGCAAAGCATATCGCACAAAAAAGGAATAGCAGGTGATTTCTTGATTGATTCTTACCCTTTTTCGTCATCTTCCAGGGCGAGCTGACGAAATTCTTCATACATTTTTCGATTGAAATTGTCTCTTAAAAAGAATGACCAAAAGCGATATAACGTATTCATCTCCGCGCAGTCATAACCGAGGTTCTTTCGTTGTTTCAAACAAGACTGCCTCCAGGTGGAGTATACCTAAAACACAATAACTGATTGTACGCTATGTGTACACGCGCTGTAAGTATCTCACTCACGTTCTGAACGAAGTTATCCTCTTGTAATAAAGAAACTGATGGATGTGCAGGAGGAATCTGACTACTGCTGGCAGCGATCCCGACGGGTGCAGGTGGAGGAGCTTCGT